GTAAAATTTGTGAAAGGAAAGATTAGCCAACGATGAGACATAAGTTAACCAACGACGAAGCATTCGAATATTGTACGAAATACTCGAATGCTGAAACAAAAAGACAAATAGAATGAAAGAAATAAAATCTGGAAGAAAAATAATTAGAACCTGAAAGAAAGAATTATTGTTAAATTATTTAAGAGAGTGGACAATGGCCACTGAATAGCCATTGATCTAGCCAACGATGATATATAATATAAATAAACCAACGACGAAGCATTCGAATATTGCACGAAATACTCGAATGCATAAACAATGAAACCTAGAATAAAAAGAATAGAATCTGAAAGAAGAAAGAATTAAAACCTGAAACAAAAAGAAAAAATATTAACGCGGACCTTCCGAAGTCGAAGCGAGAACTGACTCAAGCCTGCACGCGGGTCCCTTATATAGCGGCGGCCGGCCGAAGTTCCACGGAAATTTCCGAACTTTAACGATTTCATTAGTTACTATTTTTCCGCTATAGTAGCCAATAATTTAATACTTTTTTCACTGTTATTATAAATATACATTGTTAGCATTATGTTAATAACAATTTTCATTTGTTATTAACAATCAGTGTAATTATTTATAAACTTTTTGTAGGTTATAGATACATTTGGACACGAATACTTTAGAAATTGAAGTAATAGTCAGTAATTTAATAATTTTTTTCACTTTTACCATAAATATACATCATGAACAATTTGTTATTAACAATATTAATTTGTTATTAACAATAGGTGTAACAAGTTACAAGCTTTTTGTAAATTATAGGTACATTTTAACAGAAGTACATTATACCCTAAAGTAATATCTAGTAATTTATTAATCTTTTTACTTTTTTTACAAATCTTCGTTGCTAACAATCTGTTATTGTCGATATTAATTTATTATTAATAACAAATTTTATAATTTACACATTTCGTACAAACTATATCCGTATGCATGATACGTATATGCACGTGAAAATATTTCTATTGACATTGATAGAGCAATTTCGTATGTGGATTCGTCTTCAGGAGAGTATACCCCACAATCATCTAATAGATATTACAAATTAAAATTCGTGTTGAACAGTGTTATTATCTACACCAACAGCACGAATCTGCAGAAAAAGCTTCAAGGACCGGCACGACACTTTCCATTCGACAGACTTTCACCCGACTCTCGCTTAAGCGCTGAAACACACCCGGGTCTCTATCAATAGCGTCACGATCCATGAGAATTAGAGGCTCTGGGTACAGAATTCGCAAGTACCACGGCGCAAACAAATAGAGCATAATGCACGTGCTGCCGGTAGCTGGCTGTCCCTTCCGGCGCACCCAGCTTCCTAGGAAACAATTAATTCTAGGTCGAGTTACGTAACAAGGTGAAAAACCGGCGTCGAAGAGAGACGAATCGTCGGCTGCAACTGCGTTGCAGCTCGTCACGGGGAATTGAATTACTCAGCCACCTCTCGACACGCTTTATCAGTTTCAGTAATTCGAGCAACGTCCCTCTATTAATAGGCGGCCCTGCCCGCGTGCATACGCGGTATGGGGGATGAATCGCGGACCACACGCGTCCAGTCTCCGTGATTTTGATAAATCGCACGTCATGTTTCCAGTCTTGTTACGTGCAGATGGACAGGTAGCTTGATCGAAGGTTTGTAATCCCGATGATTGCCTTGCTTGGTGATTCGGCTCTCCGAGAATGAAATAAAACGGTAAATTTCAATGGAAAATTAGTTCATGGGGTTGCAAGATTGGGGGAATTCAATGACGAATAATAATACGTTTCAAGATTTCATTGATGGACCAAATCTGATTGAAAGAGAAAGGGATTTTTGACACGGATATTTAGTGGAGCGAAAAATACATGGTAGAGAATTTTATTTTAGTTCGACGTAAAAACAGAGGAAGGTGAAAATATTTTTTTCGAAAATGTTTGCATAACTGTTTTATTTTTACCAGTTTTTGTTTACTACTTTGGAATGAAAGTTCGATTTTAACACACTTGGCTCGTATCTGGAGTGCTGTATAAATTCTGTTTCGTCTCACTCTGTTAAAAAAGATTCAAGGTGATCTTGAGGTATAAAAATGTAAAATTTCTCTGGAGATTATTGCAAACGATAGTAGTAAATTTACTTATCGATATTCGAATACACGAGCAAATTGTAAAATTAATTTGAAAAGTTTTTGAATAAAAATTCGAATTTAAATTGAAATTTACACCCTGTCACACTTTTCGTTGATAAATAACGAGTATTCTCCCATAAATTCTTGACACGGTTAAAAAAAATTCACGTGCACCACACGTGTCTATCCTCAGTTCGTTAAACACAAAAGATACTCATACCGAACTGGAGCATAGCACTTCCAACCACCCAGATCGTTGTCGAGCATAAAATTATTTGCCCGTTGAATAGATAATCGATTCGATATAACACTCGCACGCAATCGTCAATCATTCAGCTTCCTTCCAGTAACCCACAAACCACGATCCTGCACAATACAAGAATTGTCCTTAATTTCCTGAAAACTATACTTCTCCATCTTGCTTCCCGTAAACCAACAATTGCACGCGAACTCTAGATTAGAGAAGAAGAAATGCCCGCTGGAGGAACGCCGTGCAATTTCCTAGTAATTTTCGACTTTGTCAGTGTTCCAGTAATCCCCGACGATGTGATGGTCGTCTAAGAGCAGTCGACTGCCTCCAGCAGAGCCTAGGTTGCCACGAAATTATCCGACCTGTCGAATCGTTTTATCGGTATCGTTAATTTGGGTAGCCTCTATTAATAGCCGCGCACCTGCGTCGGTATACCACACGTCGGCCCGTGATCGAACGAGCAGAAACAAAATTACTTTTTCGATACAACGATGGAATAGTTCTATCCCCGGGCAGGAGGCGTTCCGCGAGTCGATTTAAATTATAATTGATAGAGTTATCATACAGGAAACTAGCCGCCATTATAGCGAGCGAAATTACCGTGTAAAGACATGACCTTAAGGGCTGCGTGTCTTTTACCATTGTTTTATCTTCTTCCTCGTTATTACAGAAGCATTTTTTAATTCACACTTTCACCTCTTTCATCAAAGTATTCCTTCATTGTTGGTGTAATATTTATTTACAAAAGTGTATTTCATCATTTACCCCCTTTCAATATTTTTGTAGCAACTCTCGTGGAAAAAATATTTTCTATTAATATTATAATATTAGCATCGCAAATTATTTAAATATACTGCGATTATGGGTTTAAGAAAGATTGCTAGAAGGGAACAAATTTTAGAAAAATTTCAGGAAGGATTCCCTGAAAGAGAAACGTAGGTTATTAAATTAGGTGTTAAGAGTAAGCACTAACGAACCGACACAATTGCATTGTGCTTCGAAGGGAAAGACCGTAAAGGTTTATGTGCGACTGGTAATTCAGGATCGACCGGAAGAGAGCAACGCGAAAGTACCGAGTGAACAGAATACCGATACTTTCATCCCAGACGAGTCTATGTAGTCTTGAACTTTGGTCATCGATAATCCTGTTGGAACTTCTGCAGGAAAAGTGGTGGTTGTTACATATACGTATTACCCTAACCACAACCGTTGTTACGTGTCAAGGAACCACGGACATGTCCCATAGTGGTTGACGAGGCTCTGGAGAGCAGACTTGGTCGCATTGTGAAGGTAACGTTACCTAGCTATGAGACGTTATGTACACGGTACACCAGGCATTAACTTTGCATTCCATATATTCATTGACATATATTCAGCAAACTATTTCCTCCTCTCTGTTTTCCCTTTGTTTCCTACTGGAAGTTGCATAAACTTGTTTGCATGTATTAATTACGGGTGTAAATTACTCCGCCATTCATCGAGTCATTATCATGCTTATCGTGAACTCGTGAGAGACAATAGATCGCGATATTAGGATAATACCAGATTACGCTAGCGTGTCGTAAATTGAATGACAACCGTGGAAAAATTTGTATCGATATATTGGAATTTTGTAAAGAAAATTATTACCGATAGGGAAGCAGGAAATTTCTTAAACTTCTATTTTGTGGCTTCGACGATATAAAGAACGACGCATTTGACACCTATCCGGAAATTCTAAGCAAAGATCGCAATTCCAGTCCAGCACGCTTCGCTAAACTCCATTGCGCAACAAGTTCGCTCCCAGGTTCGATTACCTTCTCCTCGCTTGTGAATCCAAGCCAACACTCATCGATCGGATTAATCACTTTTGCATCGCGCTTCTATGATATACGCGAATTTAGAAGAAGTCTCTCCGTAATACCACAAATTAACACGACTGCCCAGCGGATTATCGGTAATCCGCATTAGAGTCACCAGCGACGCCATGATGGTGATCGGTGACGAGCGGTGATGTGCGAAAATTAATTAAAGTGAAAATTAATGAAATATAAAACAAAACGAGGTAAACAATTTATAAAATTTCCAATATTTAGAAAATATAAAATCTCAAAAGCACTGTAGAATAACCAAGCAGTTTTATTTCTCACTTCCATCGGCATATCAGCTTCGTAGGGCAATATCTCAAGAACGTCCCGTGCAAATGGCACAGATAGCAGTGTTTCGAAAACTTTTCGATATCGGAACGCTCCTGACGTCCCTCGACTTTCGACCCAAACATTCCGTATCTCCCTTATCCGAGATATCCAGCGGACACCCTGTGCATCCGAGGCTTAACTACGCAACGATATATCGAGCTGAAATAAGCAACACCCGCCATAGCCGTGGCCAAGAAGCACATCCGAAATCCGGGCAGTCGTGAACGCGTTTAAATCAAACGAAAGCAAACGGACGTGAGAACGTCGGAATGTAACGTGTGGCGTCGTTACACGGACGAGTGGTTGGGTGACGTGGTCGGGTGGCGTGTCGTTTGCAGAATCCCGCGAGTTTGCTCGCGCGCTGACAAAAGATCTTTCGTTCAGCTCGCGTTTCGCCGCGTGTCCCGTTTTTAATTTAGTCTACCTCGAATTGCTGACCACCGCTGACTACGCCGTCTACCCAATAGGCCGGCGTCACATCCAGTATTATCCGACGTAGCTCCGCGGAGCCGAGGTGGCTCAGTCGTCTGATAAACGCGGAGGCACCTGGATAGGCCGCAGAGCTGGTCGCGTCTGCACATCCGTCGACGCCGGTGAATCGTGCACGCTGTGAACAATGTGTACCCCGTGAAACGGAACCGCGGCCAGCTGATCAATCCATTGCTACCTAGTCTTGCGAAACCCCTGGCTCCGTTTCTATCGACTACCGTGTTTTTGTTCCGATTCCACCATCGCCGTGAGATCGACGGAAAACTTCTGGTTCTGCAGGTTCGCTGGGAGGCTTGGTACCCGAGCGTCGAGGCAGGTGAGACGGTCGTGTTTGGCATTCTAACTGTTGAACGTGCGTCGTGTTGCTAGATTCACTGTTTCGGGCGTTATTCGAAAGTCAAGTGTTTCTTAATTCGAGTTTTTGGAATGGTCATCGCGAAATTGACAGATTCCGTCGAATAATGACAATTCGTTGAGTTTTTTCTTGGTTCTTTAAATGATTTTCGTGAGTCGATTTTGTGGAAAAAAGTGGATTTGAAAGGGTAGAGTAATGGTTAGTACTACATCGGTATGACAACGTTCCGAGATTTTGTAGATTTTTTAAAATAAATTTTGGAAATTTATTATTTCACGGTGAAAAGTAAAATCTGTAATAATCGTGAGATTAATAGCCCGTGCCAAGGATCAAGGATAGTTTAAATATCCGATCTGATCTGATTTAAATATCCAGTATGAGAACGTTCCGAAATTTTATAGATTTTTCAAAATAAATTTTGGGAATTTATTATTTCACGTTGCAAAATATAATCAGTAATAATCGTGAAATCAATAGCTTGTGTCAAGAACCAAGGATAGTTTGAATATCCGATCTGATCTGATCTGAATATCCGGCATAAGAAAGTTCCGATATTTTATAGATTTTTCAAAATAAATTTTGTGAATTTATTATTTCACACTGCAAAATATAATCCGTAATAATCGTGAAATCAATAGCTTGTGTCAAGGAACAAGGATAGTTTGAATATCCGATCTGATCTGATCTGAATACCTGGTATGAGAAAGTTCCGAAATTTTATAGATTTTTCAAAATAAATTTTGGGAATTTATTATTTCACGTTGCAAAATAGAATCGTTAATAATCGTGAGATCAATAGGCCGTGTCAAGGAACAAGGATAGTTTGAATACCTGATCTCTTGACAGTAGATACCGTGAGTTTGCTATTTTGCGTCAAGAAGTGGAAGTTATTTGACATTTCCAGTTCGTTGAGTAATCGCGAGATTAGTACTCCGTGTCAAGAAATAGGATCTGCTTACTATTTCAACGTTTCAAATAATCATGGTAAGTTTAATTCTTTGTGTCATGAAACAGCAACTGTTTCACGTCTCGCGTCGACGTCACGCGTCGATCCAGTACATACCTCGTCTCGGAGAATGTAGAATTTAATATTTAACGTTTCGAGTGTGTCGAATATTAATAACAGATTTTCCGGACAGACTCGTTCGTTAGATTCAGGTATTCTTGGAGAAAAAGTGAGCGTGGCTAAGCTGGAAAGTGAATATTTTATTCGGAGTAGCGCGCGCGATTTCGAGATCGCAGATAGCGAGAAAACCGTACTTTTTAGCACGAAAAGTGTTTTATAATCACTCCTTTCGTGAATTTGATGAATTGCTCAATTAGACTTTGTTTTAAAACCAAGCCAACAGCCATTAAAACTCGATACGTAGGTTCGTTATATTATTTTTGTAGCGTAACTTTTTACCTAATATCTGCTTCATGTTACAAGCTAGATTTCCACATTTGTAACAACGTATCCTACACTATAACCCATAATATTACATCTTTATCATGGCAATTAGACATTAACAGACCGGAACTCCCGTTAGTCTCCTATTTATTACACCACGGGCATAAACACTATTCGCGATATCCTGAGAGACGTTAAAAAATTCAATACAAAAATTTGAAAGATTCTGTATCTTACAGTACTGTCAACCGATATCGACTAATCGATACGTAGCATCGATTTCAGTGCAGTATAAAACAATCCGAGAGCTATATATACATTTTCTTATTATATCCAGTACCAACGACACTTTTACCCCTTTCTAAAATCGCATTGTTATGAATCACATGAAAACAAAGTCTTTCTAAATGTAATTATTCACGCCTGTTTTTCGTGTCGATCTGTAATTTCAACAGACCGTGACTACCGCTAATTCTGAACTGTACTGTTCTCCGTTACGTTTCGCGTTCAATTCCATACTCGTCCTTGTCTCACTTTCCCACAATTGCTACACGTCTAAAATACAAGAATATGTACAAGAAAATGAAAAAAAAAACATAATAGAAAATTTAAATTAAATTAAATTAGTACTCTACTATATTTTGATCCGATTTGTTGACTCGGCGGAATTATTCGTGGAAATCGTTCTGACGAAATCTGTTTTCCCTAAATCAAGGTATCGAGGGGACAGAATTATCATAAGAGGATGAGTCTTCGTTGGATTCACGAAAACTTAGAAGCACCGACATGCGACGAGGAATGCAGCGACATCGATGACAGTTGCAGCGACGACAGCTACGATTCCGATCTATCGATCGGTGATGAGAATGGGCCGGGAAGCGAAAAGGAGATCAATGGGGATCGCAGGAGGAAACGGGAGACCAGGAGGCATCCTACCACCACAGTGAAGTTCGACGAGAACGGGTATTTGCCGATAATTACGAGCTGTCGATAGTCGAGAATAAGATCGAATCTTCGTTACGTTGTTCGTTAATTGCGTTAATCGAATTACGATTCGATAGCGAACGTTAATCAACAGCTGACTTCGGCCCTGATTAATCTGCGAATTCCTAATTAATCTTTCATCCGATATTAAAGCTAATCTGCAAAAGTTATTGTCCTCTTTACATAGTAAAATCACGGAGAGATCGTTCGGGAATTAATTATGAATTCGAAACATTCTAATTAAACTAGGAACTAGAGCATTCCGTGAATAAGGTTTAAGAAGAAATCGATTATCGTTTTTAATTGCGTTATTAAATATTCCGAAGGGCTGTCGACGTATGATACCTTTCCAAACGAATAATTAAAAATGATCGATCTCTGAATGGTGATACCGCACCAAAATGGCGACTACAAAGGAAATAAACCGTGTAATGGAAAAGGAATTGAAAGATTCGTATCAGGAATAATTCTTGCCAATTTTATCAATTCTACAAGAGAGGGAAAAAATATTCTATCATCTTCTACTTGTTTCCATAGAACTTGCGAATTCTTCCAATTATTAAAAATTCAATAATTATACGAAAATTCAGAAAAAAGAAAGAAGACGGAAAATAAGGGTCCATTTTTGATACCAAGCCTTCAATTGCGAAATATCTCAAATTTACCTTCGATATTCGCTTTTCGTCTCCGTCGAAGTTGATCGATTGGAAGCAAACGTAGACGTAGTTCGATCGCCGCATTAACGTAACGATTTATGCAATGATGCATGAGTTTTTGACATTGATGAAAAGGTAATGCATAGTCTACGGCAGGTTTCTCCGCGAGTTGGTCGCAGGCTGGCAACAATAAGTCCGCAGACGTAATTTCCCTTCTAACGTGCACCTACAATAAACGTTCATTAATCACTTGAATCGATTAATCCTCCACCTAGCCGTACCGGCGATGTTAACAGTTTTAAATTTCCTATTATTCACATACGGCTCCCCTTCGTTTCGTTACCTTCGCGAATCTCGAAGGTGAAATTAATCAAGTTATCCCGTGGCGAAAAGGGTCAGTGGACACTGGCGCAAAGCCTTCGAGTCTCTGAATCGAAGTTGCGGACAGGGAGGATGATTATCATGGTAAACAAAAGCGTGGAGACGTAGACGCTGTTGCACGAGGAACAGTAACGAGTTCATCGATCACCTAACAGGATTTATTTTCTGCCTTCGCGCCGTCGTATAGTCGCTTTAAATTTATCAATCCTTCCGGCCTTCCACTCCATAGATCGCTAAGCGGATTTTAATCGAGCTGTTAATTAAAACGGCAACGCATTTTTATCGCGAGCAAAATATTTTTACACGTGTCACAGGTGGACGTACTCGAGTGTTCCGCGATCAGGATTTTCCGCTCTGTCAAACGAGCGGCGCGAGATTTAACTCTCATATCCTCTTTAATTCCGCTCTGCGCGTGTTTAGAGGCTGTGAACGAAAGTTTCGTGTTCGATTAAATAATCAGAAAAACAATCGAGACTCTAAACGTTCTATTACTGAAAAAGATATTACGAGTAAATGTCCTTTTCTAAAAACTAAATAGAGCGGATAGAGCAGCCTTTCTCCTCTCGTTCGTTCGAGAGAAACTTTTCGTTTTCGTAATATGGAAATGTAAATATAATGTAACGCGAAAGGAACGATTACTCTTTTCACGAGCATAAGATTTCAAGGAAATTTCAATTACCTCGATGTATAATACTTGGTTAAATTACGTGTGATTCGAAGATGACCCGATAATTACGACGGGGAGATAAAAAATCGATGTAAGGGTAACTCTAACTAGCAATTTTTCAATTTTCCCTGTAATCTTAAACCACGTCCGTAAAACGACACGCGAAATTGCGGCCCTAGATCGCGGACATGGTACACCTTGGAATCACAATATTGGCGGAGAGCTCTAGCAGTCACCCCACGTCGCGATATGCGATATGCATTCATTGATCACTTGATTCGATTAACTTTCTGCTCTATATTGTTGCAGGGTCACTAGGTGTAGGGAGTAGGTATGGTTCACGTTATATTATTACCGGCATTCGAGCACCGTGGCAACCGACGAGGCTGCAATTCCGCGCGAATTGCATTAAAGCACACGCACGACGTGTAACGCAAAATTAGGATCGACGTTTATGACCGTGTGTGCTCGAGTTTCAACAAATAGATCGTAGCACGTTCAACGTGTAATTAACGGGGGCGTGTTTGCGCAATGTCAAGACGTAACCATTTTTAAAGCGATGAATTTCAAACGCGAGGAATACGGGTTCCGTTCCGAGCAACTATCGCCATGTAAGATCTTTGTCTTTCACTTGAGAAACTCTTTACGCAAGTGGGACGAGTATACCCTTTTTATGAAAACAGGATAAGTGGAGAAAACCATGATTGACATTTGCATTCGTTTCGGGGATTTTCCTATGAACTTTTCAAACCAATTATATATATATTATAACAATACAATAGTACATTATAATATATATAATATATATAATTGTTCTATCTATTATATGCATATATATCTATT